CCATCGCCTGAGTGGTGCGTGTCTTTGTTCTGGTCACTGTCCTCCTGACCGGCGAGGAGCAAGACAACCCAGGGTCCAACTGCATAGTCATTTCTCTGTGTTCTAGAAGCTCATGTCACGGGTGAAAGTTCTTCTCTGTTTTCATTGCTACAGACACATTTCAAGATGATATGCTAGGATTTTCTCTGGTTATTTAATTTTCCTGTGAGTCCTGTGCAGACTGTATTTATCCATTGTCTATTATTTCCCCCACCGTGAGTTACGGCTCTAAAGTTCTGCACGTGAAAAAAAATAAGTTCCCGGTTCTTGTCTCATAGAGCATCGTAACATTCCTGGGAGCCTCTGGGTATTTTGTAACTGTGTTTCTGTGGGGGGCTGGAGTGATAGCACAGGTGTAGGGCGTTTGTCTTGCATGCAGCCCACCCAGCCGTGCCAGGTTTGACTCCTCCAACCCTGTCGGAGAGCCCGGCAAGCTACCAAGGGTATCTCGTCCACATGGCAAAGTCTGGCAAGCTACCAGTGGCGTATTCAATATGCCAAACACAGTAACAACAAGTCTCACGATGGAGACGTGACTGAGCCCGCTCAAGCAAGTTAATGAACAATGGGAAGACAATGACAGTGACAGATTCTCTGGGATTCCCCAAGCAGTAACCAAGGCTCCTACCTACTGGCTCAATGCCAGCTTCCCACTCTGCAATTTGGGTGTCCCAGGGCTACCCCGAGTGCTGCTCAGGGAACCATTCAGAGATGAGTCAGGTTCTGTCCCTCTCCCATGCAAGGCCCCTGTCACCAACCTCTCCTAGTCCTCAGTGTGGAGCTCTGGTCCCTGGAGAGCTGGGAAGAAGCACAAGGAGGACCGTCCATCCAATCACCCCCGCGTCACCAGTGGAGACCAGGAGACATCTGCCTGATCATGTCTAAACACAGCGTCCCCCCAATCCTGCCTGAGTACTAGTGATGATGCAGACCTGGAAGCAAAGTCACAGGAGGGCTGAGGTGGGAGTGGGGCAGGCTGGTGCCACTGAACACAGCGGAGCATGAACGTGGGAAAACGCAGCTTCATGAGCAGATTTGGAAAAGCAAAGGGAAGCACAGCTAGAAGAGCGAGGAATCGGCCTCAGTGTCTTCTGCTGGAGAGTGACAGAGCAGAGGGGTTCCCACACGCCCTGTGGAAATGGCCTTTGGAGGTGCTTGATGAAAGGAGAGAAACAGCCGGGGGAGAGTGAGAGTTGAGGGGATCTAGAACCCCCACCACAGTTGGAAGCTCAGGGCATGTTGATGAGCCCAGTCCCTGGGGACAGAGATGATGGTTCCTCTTGAGGTGCCCATGAGGGCGGGGAGCTGGGAACCCCTGGAGGCCACCTGGTGCTGACACAGGAGGAGACACACAGCAGACACCCCGGGACAGGCCAGCTCTCTTGTCTTGACCATGACCCCCATGACCCCGCAGCCTTCTGCGGCCCCAAATGACCTTTGTGGTGAGTTATATGGACCGCACTTGGCTGTGATGATCTTCCTCCTGGCTCTGCACTCAGGGGTCACTCCTCTGTGATGCTGTGACCATAAGAGGTTTCTAGTACTGCACACGGAAGGCAAGACACAGGCTTGTACTATCACTCCAGCCTCTACACCAACATATTTATTTGTAAGTTCTTTTGTCAGTGTTGGGTGATGCTAAGGGATAACTCTAGCTCTGTGTCTAGGAACTGCTCCTGTGAACTCAGGAGTTACTCCTGGGTCTTCCCTCAGGACTTACTGCTGGCCGTGCTCAGGGAACCATAGGGATGCTGGAATACTGGGTTGGCCCCGTGCAAGGCAGATGTCCTGCCCCTGTCCTATTTGTCCAGCACTTGCAAGAGATATACTGATGATTGTCACTGGGGCTCCTTTTAGCCCCATCTCAGCTCAGTTCCCATCATGGGCCCTGTGTGCTGGGCGCATACACCAAGCCCTGTGGGAAATTGGTCTCTTAGCAGAAACACCAAGAGTGGGAGAGGCCCTGGGTAAACAAGTTGAGTTCAAACATGAGTGTTGTAAGTGTTTGCCCAGGAGTAAGAGGGTCAAGAGGTGTGGTTTAGACAGAGTGGGCCACAACCGTCCCGAAGGCAGAATAAGAGATTATGCTGAGCTCAGGACACACTGACTGTCTGCCCCCCTGTGGCCACAGCTGTGCCAATATCCCGGCCTTTGCTCTCCATAGTCCTGTTCATACTTAGAGCACCTACCACTCACTCTCCTTCCCTCGCCATCAACTTAAACAACAGCTGAGGTATCAGGAATCAGGGAGCTCCAGGGTCTGGACGAGAAATTTTCTTCAAGCAATGACAAATCTCCCTCGCTGGTCAGGGCTGTCCAGTGTAACCTGTCCCCTAAACAAGTGACAGAGTCCGTCTGTCTCATTCTTTGGGACCGACCCAGCTGGGCAATGGATGAGTGTGCCGAACAATGGGCTTTCGGGAGTAAATTCTCACATGATTCCAAGAATCCTGGTGGGTGAGACAGAGAATCTCCCAGCAATAATATCTAATCCATCTCCACAGCTTAGTTCCTCAGCTACTGTTATCTTCTCGGTGACAGGACCCACCTGCCACCAGAGAGCACTCTGAGGATGCTGTAGCGTGTGAATTCCACTGTCCTGAAGGCTCCTCTCATGACCTTCTTTTCCAGGGACCCAGCTACCCTGGATGCCCATCCCAACACTCTTCTTTTCTCTTCCTTTTTCACTGAAATCTCTTCCCCTTGTTGTCGGGAAAATCCCATGCCAACTGAAAAAAAAAAATCAAATAAGTGTAAAAGTCCCCGAGTAGTACCTTTAAAAAGCCACTCAGTCATTTGATAGTTTGTACTGAAATATCAAATGTGAGCAAGTGACTTTGCATATATCGATGCATATATATGCATATGTCCATAGATGTATCCATAGATGTGTACACAGGCATGAGGAGTAAAGCATAACTGCAGGTTACCAGAAATAAATAAACGTTGTGAAATTTCCTTGTGAATTAAAGCTGAACTTGTGGAAATAATCGGAGGGCGGGAGGCACACAGGGTCCACCATGGGCAGATCCGGGGCATTCCGGACCTCTAAACTGCAGGTGCGACGGCACAGAAACTCTCCCTGATATCCCTGAAATGAAAGTAAGGGTCAGTTCATGAAAAAGTGTTTTTTTTAATGCATGGTGGTGGCGGTGGTGGGTGTCTTTTTATTTTTTATTTATTGATTTTTTTATTTGCTTTTATTTATTTGCAGGCATTACCCCCGTCACAGTCTGATGTTGGTGTCTGTGACATATTCCGGTTGGGTTTCTCTCTCAGCCAGAGCCTAGGGTAGAGAGCAGACCCCCAAAGCCTTCGATGCTGGTGACCCGCAGAGGAGACAGATAACACGGTGAATGGAAACTCCAATAGAAGCTACCCAGGCTGGAGAAATAGAACAGCGGGTAGGGCATTTCCTTGCACGCAGCATACCCGGTTCAATTCCCAGCTTTCCATATGGTCCCCTGAGCACCACCAGAAGTAATTCCCTGAGTACAGAGCCAGGAGTAACCCCTGTGCATCACCAGGTGTGATTCAAAAAGAAAAAATCATAAAAACTAAAAAAAAAAAGCTTCCCTCTTTGCATCAAGAAATAATCTTGGCGGCCCTAGTGATTCTGACACGCATCCCCCTGCCCCCACAGCCCCCGTGCTCTGTGACTGTGCCTTCCACGGCTGTCACTGGCGGTGTCACTTCCCCCCTCACACACACACACACACACACACACACACACACACACACACAATCAAAAACAAATAATTAGATTTTCCAGTTCAGGCCAGGGATGTGACTCCAGTGGTTAAGCATTTGCCCTGCAGGGCCCAGAGTCGCATCCCTGGCACCGCCTGCCTGCCATCCCCAACTGCATCCACTGTGGGTGCCCAGGGGACCCCATTAAACAAAGATAAACCCCCATAACCAGTGAGTCCTCTCACTCTGCGTGTAGAAATGCTGGGCCTGGGGCTGGAGCGATAGCACAGTGGGGAGGGCCTTTACCTTGCACTCTGCCGACCCTGGTTCAATTCCCAGCATCCCATAGGGTCCCCCGAGCACCGCCAGGAGTAATTTCTGAGTTCATGAGCCAGGAGTAACCCCTGAGCATCGCCGGGTGTGGACCAAAAAAGAATGAAAAAAGAATGCTGGGCCTTCCCGGAGGACACCCCGGGCTCCCTCACTGGCAGAGATTGTGTCCCTGCCACTTCTCCTTGGGGACTTGTGGCATGGCTGCAGTAGCCTGTGGGACAACTCTGGTGTGGCCTCATTGCACAGAGGTCACCCGAGGATGTCCTTCTCAGAACCCAGCCACAGCGTGTGACGGCAAAGGCCGCATCTGGTCAAACAAGAAGAGCACACGGCCCTCCCCTCCCCTCCCCACTTTCCCCACTTGCAGAGTTCCCAGCGGATGTCTGTGAATATTCCCTGGGCTGGAAAGAGAGCATGAAATGAAGTGTTGCTGGATGCAGTGACGCCTGAAACTCTCGCCGTACTTAGCATTCTTCAGTGGGACCTGAGCGTGAAGAGACTGAGGGGCTAGAATGTTCCAGAATGCAGAGAAATGATGGCCAGTCCAGGAGCTGTGTTGCAGTTGGCCTGGACGAGGGCCCTCATGTCCCCCAGGCCCAAAGGAGGAGTGAGCTGGTCTGCTCCCGAGTGACGTGATGGCCCAGGACCTGTCCCAAGTCAGTGCCCGGCATATCGATAGTAGTTCATGCTTTATATAAAAAAAAGGTAAAGACCCTCCCGTTGATCGTCGATTTGCTCGAGCGGGCCCAGTAACGTCTCCATTGGAGACTTTGTTGTTACTGTGTCTGGCATATCGAATACTCTCAGTAGCTTGCCAGGCTCTCCGAGAGGGGCGGAGAATCAAACTCGGGTCAGCCATGTTGGCCGCTTGTAAGGCGAACGCCCTACCTGCTGTGCTATCACTCCAGCCCTGGTGCGATTCTGTCCTGCGCGCCGCTCCTCCGCTGCAGGGCCGCGTGTCTCCGCTCGCCTCCTCTGCCACGCCCGTGCGTGCCCCTGCCCCATGGAAGATTCGATGGACATGGACATGAGCCCCCTGAGGCCCCAAAACTACCTTTTCGGTTGTGAGCTAAAGGCAGACAAAGATTATCATTTTAAAGTGGATAACGATGAAAATGAGCACCAGCTGTCTTTGAGAACGGTCAGTTTGGGGGCTGGTGCCAAGGACGAGCTGCACATTGTTGAAGCGGAAGCCATGAATTACGAAGGCAGTCCCATTAAAGTGACACTGGCAACTTTGACAATGTCGGTGCAGCCAACGGTTTCCCTCGGGGGCTTTGAGATCACCCCGCCGGTGGTTCTGCGGTTGAAGTGCGGTTCCGGGCCTGTGCACATCTCCGGGCAGCACTTGGTTGCCGTGGAGGAAGATGCAGAGTCAGAAGATGAAGAGGATGACGACGTGAAGCTCTTGAGCATATCTGGGAAGCATTCTGCTCCTGGGGGCGGCAGCAAGGTACCATGCTTTGTATAGTCTTCAGATATTTTTAATCCTCTGCCCCTCTCAGAGAGCCCGGCAAGCTACCAAGACTATCTCACGCACACAGCAGAGCCTGGAAAACTACCTGTGATGTATTTGATATGCCAAACACAGTAACAAGTCTCACAATGTTACGAGGCCCGCATGAGCAAATCGATGAACAACAGGAGGACAGTGACAGTGACAGTGATTTGCATTTAGGGTTAACCCAGTGAAGCTCAAAAGTTACTCCTGGCTCTACACTCAGGAATTACTCCTGGTGGTGCTTGGGGGGACCCTATGGGATGCTAGGAATCAAACTTGGGTCGGCCAGTTGCAAGGCAAACACCCTCCCCGCTGTGCTGTCGCTCCAGCCCTGAATAAGGCACCTTTCGGAGCCAGCCTGGCAATGCTCCAGCTGCGCTGCCAGGTTTCTGCCGTGAGATGCATCCTGGGCAGCTGAGCTGCCCGCTGTGGACCAGAAGCCGCCAAGACTGGAACCCTGCTCCCATGGCTCAGCCAACGGGGGCAGCCTGGCCACCATTTCTGCCCAGAACCACCCCACTCCACCCGCAGCACCTGGTAGAGGAACCTCTTTGAGCGCCTAGAGTGGGAGACCGGGGAGAGGTGTGCCTGGGTCAGGCCCTGCTGGATTTGGGCTGAGGCTGCCAGAGTTACCAGGCAAGGATGGCAGCAGCCCTGGCCACTGCCTAGTCCCTGCTGGGGCCGCTGCTGCTGGGGCCCGGGGCTCTGTGCCCCTGGCAGGCCAACCGGGCCCGCAAGGTGAGGGCATCAGCAGTCTGCCGGTACCTTCAGGCTTCCTGACACCCCACATCACCACTGTGCCTTGCCGAGACACACTCGCACCCCTTGGGAATAGCTTTCCCTCTAGCCTTCCCTTTCCAAACCAGACCTTCATTTCAGCAGAGAATTCCAGAAGTAGCACAGCTGGTCTAACTGTCCTGGAGGATAGAGTGACCTGATTATGGTCAAGGAAGGAAGACCAAGAAATTAAAGGGCACCTCCTCCCTGAACCACCTCCGACTCTCTCTTGCTGCACTTAAGACTGATTCTCATATATGTTATGTACAAAGTGTATCACATTCGTGGATACAACATGCAGCTTCACAGTTGAGATAAGTTTAGAGATAAGTTAAGGTTTTTCTGTTCTGTGTGGTACTAGGTAGCTGTTTTTTCAAAAAATCATAGTTTTATCATGGAATAAATGGGATTCTAATGTAGGCAGATTAAATACATATATAAATGTTTTTTATTATAAGAATATATAGATATTCCTTCAACCAGACAGGGCAAGTTTCCATTTTCTCCCCACAGTTGAAATAAAGGTGACACAGTTTTTTGCTTTAACCTAGAATCAGTGCAGAGTCTCCTGCCCCTGTGCTTGGCTGTCCTCACCGGGGCCCTTTGAAGGGGGGCGGGTTGAGTTTCCGTCCCTGCCCCAGGCAGAGCCTCGGCAGCCGAAGACCTCTGCAACCAGCCACAGCCATGCTGAGACCACTCTCCACATGCATGAAGGAACCAGCAGAGGAACCCAGGCATGCGGGTCCCAGAACTGAGATCTCCAAGCCCGCTCAGATCAGGACTGGGCCTCCTCCACCCAGATCCCCCATCTTCCAGTAGATAGGCGTCACACCACCAACTGCCCCTGGTGCCAGGTAATTCCATCAACGGCTGAGACCCAGAGACGATAAAACCCAGCTCCCCAAAGCGCGCTGCCACATTCTTGACTGCGTGACATCTTATTATCTCCTTCTTACTTTGGACAACCCGGCAAGCTACCAAATGTATCCTGCCCGCACAGCCGAGTCTGGCAAACTCCCCATGGCATACTCAATATGCCAAATGCCAGTAACAATGATGAGTCTCATTCTCCTAACCCTGAAAGAGCCTTGAATATGGCACTATTTAAAATCTCAGGGCTAGGACGAAGGAGACGTTACTGGTGCCTGCTCGAGGCAATCGATGAACAACAGGATGATCATGATTGTGATCATGAACCTAGAATCTCAGCACTTCGTGCAGAATGTGAAACATCAGTTTTCCTTGTTCATCTCCAAATCTAAAAGAGTTTATTGTCTATACTAAGCTTTTTGTCAGTGGTGCCCGTCACGGCTGAGAGGTGTCCTTGGGGTTTACTGCTTTTTTTTATTTTCTGTATTAAGGATCCTCGGCGGTTGTACACTAACCACACACTGAATGACGTGATTCCATGAGCGCTGCCGAATAAGCTTCATTGGGTCGGGGTTCCTCCCTGTGTAGCCTGGTGGGAAACAGCCCCAGGGCTGGGAGCATGTGCAGGCGAATCCCTTGGTTTCTCAGGAGCTGTGTGCAGATGTTGGCAGGGGCAGGTGTGCCTAGAGAGAAGAACTGGACCACTGTGCTGGGATGACATTTCAATAAAATTTCCAAACTACTTTGAGACCTACGAAGATATTTTATGTAATTTCTTTAGAAGTGTTTTTCTTTCTTTATTTTGAAATATATTTATGTGTTTTTCTAAAGTAGTTTGCTGCTTATTGCATTCATTATTCCAACCCCAATCCGAACAACTTTGCACTTTCCCATCGCCATTGTGTTCAATTTTCCCAACCACTCCTCAAGCCTGCCCCTATAGCAGGACCTGAAGAATTTATTTTCTGTTTCTTTTCATAACTCACAAAAATGATCAAAAATATTTCTGTAGAAGAAAGTGTGTGAAGATCGTTCTATAGCACCAAGGAGCCATTAAGGGCTTGTAGAAGAGAGCACTAACATGTTGTTACAGATTAAGCCTTGTATGTTTATATTTTCCTAACTGAGATTGGTTGCCTTCAGCTTGCCATCGCATCCCATACGGTGGCTACTCCTGGTTTATCAGTGGTGTAGAGTTTGAGATGACACGCAGCTGCATTCATGACGGCATGTGTTGGAGTAAACGGAGCTTAGGTTTATCAGATTGTACCCATCACAGTGCTCCCGAGTCACTCCCATTACTTTGTCTGTCTGTAACCTCTTCTATGCTCTCTTCCCCAACCAATTTGTAAGGTCTCATCCTTCTTGGACACTGAAGCTGTACTGTAAGTTAATATTGCCTTTCTCCTCTCCTTATGTCTTTGAGCAGTTTACTTTAATGCAATGTCCTTTTGTATAGATACAGGAAGACAATTAATTAATATTATGCTTTATAACTTAGGAATTGATTGGCTTTGAATATTATTCACTCCTGGGCATCTGCCTTCTCAACTTAAGCCTCAGTTGCCCTCACTTCCTAGCACTCCAAGGGCAGGGTCCCGACGTGGGACTGGATGGAACCAGAGCAAGCCGGTAAGTTATGTGCTACCCTGGCATCGCGATGGCCCAGGCCAAGGTGCCACGATTCTTAACTATAAGTTAAGAGTTTGATCATAGGCAAATGATGTCATGATCCAAAAATAACGAGACTAGGGCCCTACTGCTAGGAATAGGAAAGATATCTGGCCTGAGCACTGCAGTCTGAGATCGAGATGGTCCTAGGAGAGCAATTCTATAAGCTCAAAGTATTTCTTACTGTGTCCATACGAAATGATTAATATTATGTATGCTTATATGTTGGTTGGACAAGGAGAGGAGAAACACGTCCTAGAAGCAGTTTCCTGTGTGTCCTGACTAGCTTGGATGAGACTGCTTTTTGGAGATGTAGATTCCAAGCTCTAGCAGACTGGTCTTTGTTGTGCTAATCTAAGTGCTTGTAGCTTGTGAAAAGGTGAGGCCAGGATTACTGGCCTGCAGATGTAAGGAAACAATGTATGTTTGCTGCCTCAATGTTCTTTCTGTAACTCCTTTTGATGACATCATTATATTGCGCCCTTTAGAGGTACTATGATCTATATAAGGGAGATTTCAGGGCTCTCTGGGGGACACGTGCATCAGAGAACCTGGGAAGATGGGGCTGAGGACAGAAGCTGAGAGAACAAAGGCGCACGTGCTCGAGGATTCCTGAGGCCTCCATGACATACATCTCTTCCATGTAATAAACGGCTACTAAGACCAACCAGCTTGGCCTCGTTTCCTTCCTTCACCTGACCATCGCCATCGTCCTCCCTGGAGTGGGGAAACGGCAAGACCGCCGGCCGTTTTATTTTTTGTGTGTTTACACAGGCATGCTCCTGGAATTCAAAATTTCTGTACAGGGTTCCAATGCATTATTAACTAGATGGACTTTGGGTGCCCTGGATGACAGAGCCTGCAGTGGGGTCCAGAATCATCTCTGCAATTGCTGATCTCTTTTGAGATTCATTTATGGTCTCTGGATCATGGCTGGTTAATGACATTATTTGAAGCAGTGCATGGGGGTGATTGACATGAGGATGAGGGGAGGTAGCCCATCCTTACTCCGTGAGAACCTGGGGATTTTGGTTACAAAACCTGCATATACCTGAGTTGTTTAACAGATCAATTTATGGAAGAGGCTCATCCCCAGTAGTGCAGTTTGGCTTAAGCATGAAGGCAGTTGTGACGTGTAGAGGGTTTCGGCTGCTGCAGCTCTGTTTGGGCAGATGCTGGGCTCACCCAACGCTCCCTGGGGAGACTGAGCCTGGCACAGGGTCTGGAAGTATTTTCAAAACTTGGTGGTCTTTTTGGATTTTGTTTATGAGTCTCTGGATCACGGTTAGTTAATGAGCTTTTTTTAATGAGCTCATTGGTTCCAGAGAGTTCATGGGTGTGACGGACAGGTTTCCTGAAGAAGAGGAAGATGGGGGTGGTAGCCCAACCTACTCTGTAAGAACCTGAAGATTTCAGTCAAATGTGTACTTTTTTAAAAATGCCAATTGCAATAAAACAATTTGTATAAAAATAATTAAATGAGAAAAATTAAAAATAAATTTGTAGAGATGTAAACATTTATATCCATGTCTTTGTGCCATATGGTGCCATGGGAGTCTTTATACATTGAATCTACTCGAAACTATCTGGTTAAGTACATGCATGTGGGTAGAAATCAGCCGTATTCGAAAAATAGACATTAACGTTTCCACTTTCATACAAATGATGAAAGCATCATAAGGTCCATGAAAATTCATTAACTTAACAAACAAACTGGACCTCAAGCTCTCTTCTCTGCACAGCTAGAAACAATCCTCCACAAACATCAGGCATATTTGGTAAAACACCCGGTGTCCTGTAGCTCCAATCACTGCACGGGTGTTACCCACTGTCCAAGGAACAGGTGTAAAACCAGGGTCAGTGACGGCATCTCCTTGGGATGGGGACTGTGGGTCAGGAGCACCCAGTGATGAAACTGCCAGGGTGGACAATGGTGGAAGCACTGATGTCCGTGGGCCCCACGGGTGACTTATGTGAAGTGGGGAGGAGAAAGACAGCCACTTTCTCCTCACCCGCCTCTGCCACCCGGAACCCTGGGTAGGCTAGGACCGGTAAAGTCTGCAGTGAGCACCTGCTCGGCACAGGCCTAAGCCCCGCCAGCCCCACAAGGTGGCTGTCAAGCCACACCTGAATCCGCTTGATCTTCTCGGCACGGGAGTTAATCCCCGCCACCCGATTGCTCGGGGAGCCACGGACTCAAGCTGGGGCGAGAATTTGCTCTTTGCAGGAAAGGAGAG